CGATTGGGTTACACTCAAATCGTAAAGGGATAACTTTTATTGGATTTTCTGGAAAAAATCTAGACCAGAAGTGGTGTTGAAGACCTGATAGCATGATTGTAGAGATCTACGAACAGCTATTTGAGGCCAATCATACAAACCATTTCTGTGAGTAGCTTGTAACGTATCAAATCTACACCTTAAACGATTTATTGGCGATGACAGAAATCTATGGGAAAGTTATTAGGGTCATTCTTTTCTAATCCTTACGTTCTGCAATGAGAAGACAGCATTGTAGCTGACGTTAGATGTTGGAGGGAAACAATATACACTCACGCCCATACACTGTCGAGAGCACGACCTTTCCCACACACCTTAAATTAACACTTTCAGTCACATTGTTCTCCAACCAACTTGTCTTGCATGGTAGGACCTAACGAAACAAATGTTGCAACTAATACAACTCGATTGGGTCATCTTAATATGTGAGTACGATCACCATCTCAAGATCGTGCATTAATTTACTGTTTATTCTAATATGAATTCTATATATTTTGGCGGATAAACTGGAACATGGCATCGATTTATGAAGTCACTGAAAATTGAACTCAGCAATGGTAGCAGGTACAGACTACTTGTTTAGGGTCCGTATGATTATCGTAACCAATGGTTAGAGACTTTGAATGATGTAGCTCCAAACTGTTTGCATTGGCTCAGGTGCATTCACTCGTTATCTTCCCCGAATTCTGACGTTCTAAAATCCTCACAACTTTCTTCTCGTTTTTGTTTCACTAATTTATATTTTCTTTTCGAGTTGTATCTTGGATGCCTAGTCTTTCTTATTGCCACTGATACTACCTCTACTATTCTGAGATTTGGACCGACAATATGACCTCTGTGTTAATGGGGTATGGCAACTTGAACCGGTGTACATAACCAACAGGTTCTACAGTCTGGCTGTTTGACTTATATTATGGCTATTTCAAAGGGTATATAGTTGAGGCAATTTATTGACATTCTATATTATAATGTATACTCCATTTATTGAGGACAGATTTACGTACTGTGACCTATATCGTTTACGTGTGTGTGTGTGAAGGGTATTGTTCCAGGTTCACTGCCTAAAGAAAAAAAGCTCGGACTAGGTTTGAACCTGTAACTTATCAGTTGAAATCTGAGTACTTAATCCAATAATTTATCATTTTAATTTCTTCAAATCGACTAATTATTGATTTTAATGAGTTGTTTGTAAACATATTATTTATTCAGAAATGATAACCGTTTAGCACTTATATGTAAATCATTCCAATAAAATAAACTGTCGCAAGATCCAACAGCAGGCTATGAATTTAGAAACCTGTAATAACATGGTGTTTAGAGAAAGATAATTATATCGAAAAACCACTTAAATATCACGTAACTTGATCGAACTTTGTTATGCCCGATTGACGAAATCTGAGTTGGTGTTCGACGGATGTTAATGTCTTGAATTTGATTTTATTTAAAAGTCAAGCTTATAAACTACTAATGAAAAGTTTAATATTATGATAAAATGGCTATTTAAAGATGTCAGCGTCTGTAACTATTGCTCAAATTATGAGAGTATGCAATGGAAACTCCTCCAATTACTAATGATCTGAACTTATTGGCTTAATAGATAAGGCATTGACTTTTGATGTGTTTAGGTAAAGGATTCGCGAATCACAATGTAAGTATCAACACGAAAATGGAGTTACACTAGACTAACAAGTTCGAAACAAGATGAAATATATTCCAAGAATATAAACTGATTTTAAATAACACTTTTTCTAAATCTATTGCTTTGAAAAATGTTTACAATATAACCAGCTAGTCAATCATACACAAACAAACAAAACACAAAGAAAATAATTATAATAACATCAACACTTTATTATCAAAAATCAAATGAAAAGGATATGAAGCGGGAGAAATCTTGATAGCCATTATAATATCTTCATACTTTTCGTATACTATTCATCCGTATATTGACGACAATCATCATTAACCACCATCATCATCGCCAACAATCATCATCATTGTTAGATATACGTAAATAATTCAGTAGATAAAATGAAGAAATTTATTTTGGGAAAGAAAATAACAATCATAATATTAGACTAAATAATATACAAATAAAAACCAATAATTGACAGTTTAACGATAATAATAATAATAATGTGAACATTTAATGAAAAATTCAATTGATTAGCACCAATAATTAGATCATTAAGTTTATTAGCGTATTAGCGTAACTCGTAGTCTACAATTGTTTATGCTCGAAATGAAATGATTTTTTTCTCTTCAATGTTTATAAATATTACGTCACAAACAACTCGATTTAACTACTGACCCAGTCAGTTTATTGCGTATCATATATTAAGCATTAGTTTAATAGCTGAAATTTGTTCACAACGCATGAAATACTTATACTGATCAGTAACTAAGTAGCATTTGTTGCTTTGTTTGTTTAGACCCTTAGTACTGGTTGAATTCTATCGAATAATTTGTAATTTATCTAAATGACTTGGCACTGTTTTAATGTTAGGTAGTTGGAGGTAATGGACAAAAAATCCTGAACCTAGTATTTCTTGCTGTTTTACATTTGTTAGTAAAGTGTACTTGTAATTTTTCGGGAATTGGTATCTATTGTATGACCCAAACAGGTGATATTCAACTTTACAGTTTGAGATGTTACCAGTTAGACAATTTATGATCATTGACAAAAAAGATAGGCAGTAGTTCTGTGAGTTCAGTTATCCGCTTCGAAATGAAGTGAACTATGAATCTATTGACATACTTGAATGTAGTTAATAATTGTTGAATTAAAGTTGAATCTAAGATGAGAAACTCCCCAATTGTAATGAACATACGATTAAAAACAATGATTGAATAACGTCTTATTTAGAATCAATCCCAATACTGGAGAGGGCAGATACATGCACATTCTAACTTAATTTTAAACCTTTATACATACAGTCAGTCAGGTCTTGAGTGCTGTTAGAGGTATGAGGGCGGTTATCACTTCCCGGTTGCTCACACCTTGAAAGGGTTCTTTTGGAGGTACCTGAAAAGGAAATTGGATTAGAGGTGGTCTTAGTGACCGGAGAGCGTGACCGCAGTGCCCAAGGGACAACTGCTTGAGGTCGGTCACACACGACCTTTTTATGGGTAGTTTTTGTGTTAGCTCCGTACTTGTTGAGACCTTACCGCCGGAGACGGATATCCGTGGGATAAGGCGGGGTGTGCATCTTTAGGGTCGACTTTTTCTAACCCCACCCCTCCTTGTGAGAAAGTAGCATCGCTATCATGCTGGTTGTCTGAAGTGAACACCTTACTGCTGTCAGCAGTACGACTTCACCTTCGGACCTTAGGTTTGTTGCTTTTAGTCTTACCGCTCATCAACCAACCTGTCTGACATGGTAGGACCTTGAGGAACGGTTGTTCCAGCCAGTATAGCTCGGTTGCTTCATCACGATAGGCAAGCTTGACCACCACGTCAAGGTAGCAACAACGGTCGGGTTATACATACATACTATTCTTCTGAAATATTGTAACACTTATCCATCTATACTGATGGTAATAAGGGTAAAACTATAACTTGTGGACAACATTTGAGAGATGCTTAAGTGATATTGAGAATGTCGACCTACTTACTAGGGTTAAACTAGGCTTATAAAGTATTGTGAGAAATCAGGATTAAGATTTACAGTTGGACATAAGGGTCAAGAAGTAAAGTTAGAGTTTTAATCACGAACTGACATCAGTTATAATGTTAAAATGCTATTTAGCCATATTGATGCATGAATTTCACGCCAGAATCAAATACTTGCTATCTTAAACCAGATCGGTTCGTCTATGAATTATATTCCTGCCATGATAAATGAAATTCAGTTTAAAGGACAATTTTGTGACATTTTTATACATTTAGAAATAATAATTCATTACAACCTAAGCCATCAACTGCAAACAATTAATGGTTATGTTGGAACTCAATAAATCAGTGGATAACAAGTTGATGTTTGAAACAATAGATATCGAGTTTGTATCTCAATATGTACATCAACACTGGGGTTATTATCAGAATTGGAATTTGTGGAGACTTGAGTAATTTTCATGGTTGAATTCGTGAGTCAATTTAAGCCAGACCACCATTGAAAACCTGGAAGCACTGTTTAACGGCCGTTTCGTTCTAGTATGAGACTTGTCAGCATTGCGCATCCACAATCCCGCATATGGGATGCGAACCCAGGACCTTTGGTTTCACATGTAAACGGTTAAACTCTAGACCACCGAGCCGGCATCCAACGGTGTTAATATCTAACTTCGGTTGATCCATGGCCTTGGGCAACCTTTCATCTATTGTCTGGGTTAGATAACTGTCTCATAATCAACACAGACTGGACTCTACAAGCCACTACCAAGGAGTCCTATGTTAGGACGAAACGGCCATTCAGTTTTTCCAGGTTTTCATTACTGACCTAACATTGATCGGTTCATGATCCTAATTAAAACCCAAAAAGCGTGATAGTTCAATGAAATTCGAAAAGAAAACTTAATAGAAATGATGATGATGACGACGATAATAATAATAATAATAATAATAACGATAAATAAATAAAGTGATAATCTAGAAAACGGACAATTTTCTATCATATGGACTAAGGGTAATACACTTTTATCATTCGAAATAGGATGATACGAAAGAAAAGAAGAAAAATATTGTATGTATCTGTACAATTCTATTACTATTATCGTTACTGCAAAACTTCTTTTTTTTATCATCATAAACACATGATAAAGTTTTATAATGAAATTTATTGAATAAAATCTACACGTATATGGATGATCATTTGAAAATTTCATGACTTGAAGGGTAGAAAAGTAAATTATTAACTATTTTCTAAATTACATACAACATGGAAACTGTTCATGTAAATAATTGATTTGAAAGGAATAATGATAATTCTTTTAGTTAAGATATAGATTGTGAATATGGAATGAGAAAAATAGAGTTCAGTGAAGAGAATTTTCTTTTCGATGAAATTATTTACTTAAACTTGATATGTGTATCTTAAAACAGTATTTAAAAGAACTACTTCTACGATGTACGCTCAACGTGCAATTTAGATTTAATGATGAATTCTAAAGACAAAAAGATGGAGTTTCAATGGGTTCTCCATTGGATTCTCTCTTGGCTGATTGTTTCATGACCAATCTGGAAAATTCTCTACTTCTTCAGATAATTGAGAGATTTCATTTATATAAGAGATATATGGATGATACTTTTATTATTTGTGAAGAAGACATGGACCTAAACGAAATTTTGAATAGTTTCAATAATTGTCACCCCTCAATTCAATTTACCTTAGAAGCAGAGGCAAACAATGAATTTCATTTTCTTGATGTCCGATTGAAAAGAATGCCAAACGGTTTCCTACAAATATCTATATATAGAAAACCTAATTGGAATGGACAATACACGAATTTCCATAGTAGAGTCCCATTGAGTAGAAAGAGGAATTTAATTCACTCTTTATCCTCTACGATTAAACGAGTCTGTTCCACTGACACAATAGATGGGGAACTATCTCATCTTCGACAAACTCTCATCAGAAACGGTTATCCACCTAGATTCGTCTATAGCAACTTAATACCAAGACTTCACCATGAAAAACCATCGACATTACAGAAGAAAACCCTGTTTATGAATATGGAATTTAAAGGAGACACGGCTGCTGAAATCTTAAACAAACGGCTTTCAAAATAATTGAATAAAACTTTCTACACATCCAAGCTCCGCATTGTTTTCTCAAGCTGTCCAACCATTCCTGAATGTGTTAAAGATAAACTTCCGCATTGGGCCACACCTATGTTTATTTATAAATTTACGTGCTCATGTGGGGCTCGCTATATAGGCCGTACAATGCGATCACTTTCCAAACGCATCTCAGAACACTATCCGGCTTGGCTTTTAAAAGGAGAATTTAAGACAATCACTAGTTCTATACACCAGCATTCCAATTAATTGTGGACAAATCGCTCCGAAAGATTATTCTTTTAATCTACTGAGTCAAAGGACCTGGATCGAAGGGGTGTCGAATCAATATTCTATACACTGCTGAAGCATCGGCAATCCACGAACTCAAACCAGAACTTTGCGTGCAGAAACGATTCGTCCAACCTCTCATCCCTCCTTGGCCCTAATTCCCTTAAAGGATATGTTTCTGGTTGTTTTCACTTGCATGTTTTTCTGCACTTTTTTAAAATTATACTCTCCATTGTTCATGACGTTCATTTTAAGAAGCTTTAATAGATTGGACTTCACTCTGGATTCCAATTTTCTAACATTAATATTAGATGAAGCGTCCTGCAAGAATTTACTCTGATCACCCAGTATAAATAACATTTTTTCTTTATAGTCACATTTATTGATAACGACCACCCGTGAACCTTTGTCAGGTCTGAGGATCACAATATCTGATCTACTCTAGAGGTTTTTTAATGCGGCGAAATGTTTAGAAGTTAAAATACTCCTTTGTCTGATTTGAGAACTGTGAAAGTGGTAGGCAACGTCAACCAATTTTTCCTATCTAGGGTGGTTGGGACAAGAGGGTTCAACTGATCATAGAGATTTTCAAATTGAGTATCTATCGACAGATCAGAAATCTTGGTATGTGTAACGAAGAAATTAAATCCGAGTGATAGGGCTTCCTTCTCAAATACAGAAAGCCTAACATTTGATAAATGTGATACATATTTATCAGGGTTAAATTGAAATGAATTTCCATCATTATCATCCATAAGAGATTTACTCAGCTTTTGTTTGGTAGTATAATTTGTTTTAGCAACCACTGTACTGCAAAAGTTCACGAATTTAATATGACATATATAAGAGAGATATTCGATAATACGCATGATGCCTGAGTATGAAGTTCAATTAGGTTTATTTATCATATCATTGCATTTTTCTTTATGAGATTTCGCAAGCCGCAAAAGATTAGAAACATTTGGATGCAACTTATTGGATCGTAAGGATTTATAAAACTGTCTTGGAAATGTGTGTGTAATAATGCAGGTCTTGTAAAACTCCAGTTTTACCTTTTCAGATGCAATTTAAGTATTGTCCCGTCCAAGTCGGTTTCCTATACACTGAATGTCTAATAGTTCCATCATCCCTTCTACTTAAAAAGTATGTCTAAAAAGGCCAATTGGTCATTACTTTCTGATTCATATGTCATCACAATATCATCTTGAACACCATTGAGTTAATCCAATAATCGGTTAACATCAAAATTGTTATCACATAATTAGAATATCGTCCATGTATCTTCTATATAGAGTTGCCTCACTAATAAGCTCGCTCGTCATATTTTCCACATATGACATCGAAACGTCAGCTAAAAGAGGCTCCAAAGGGCTACCCATAGCTACACCGTCGTAACCTTGAATTTACCTTGGTAATCCTTAAGTCATTCTATGGCCTAGGATAACGCGACAATTTCTTATTCTTTCTCTCACCTTTGTTAATTTACTTGAACTTTCATTTAATTGACCTTTATTAATTTTCATATAAAAATGCCTTGACAAGTATATGTGTGACCAGATTGTTCGAAATGTATAGCTCGAATACATCACATTTTTCAGATAAACTCCGTCTTCTCATTGTTCTATCGAAATTTATAAAAGAAACTAATTGCTTTAAATTCTTGAAAAGAAGACTCCGTCTTGCATCAAACGGTTAGATGAACTTGCTAGTCTGAAGTGCAAAATTGCATCTGAAAAGGTAAAACTGGAGTTTTACAAGACCTGCATTATTACACACACATTTCCAAGACAGTTTTATAAATCCTTACGATCCAATAAGTTGCATCCAAATGTTTCTAATCTTTTGCGGCTTGCGAAATCTCATAAAGAAAAATGCAATGATATGATAAATAAACCTAATTGAACTTCATACTCAGGCATCATGCGTATTATCGAATATCTCTCTTATATATGTCATATTAAATTCGTGAACTTTTGCAGTACAGTGGTTGCTAAAACAAATTATACTACCAAACAAAAGCTGAGTAAATCTCTTATGGATGATAATGATGGAAATTCATTTCAATTTAACCCTGATAAATATGTATCACATTTATCAAATGTTAGGCTTTCTGTATTTGAGAAGGTAGCCCTATCACTCGGATTTAATTTCTTCGTTGCACATACCAAGATTTCTGATCTGTCGATAGATACTCAATTTGAAAATCTCTATGATCAGTTGAACCCTCTTGTCCCAACCACCCTAGATAGGAAAAATTGGTTGATGTTGCCTACCAGTTTCACAGTTCTCAAATCAGACAAAGGAGTATTTTAACTTCTAAACATTTCGCCGCATTAAAAAACCTCTAGAGTAGATCAGATATTGTGATCCTCAGACCTGACAAAGGTTCACGGGTGGTCGTTATCAATAAATGTGACTATAAAGAAAAAATGTTATTTATACTGGGTGATCAGAGTAAATTCTTGCAGGACGCTTCATCTAATATTAATGTTCGAAAATTGGAATCCAGAGTGAAGTCCAATCTATTAAAGCTTCTTAAAATGAACGTCATGAACAATGAAAAGTTTAATATACTAAAACCTTCGGGTTCAGTTCTCTCGAATCCATATGGTTTACCTAATCCCAATATTTGATTATGATTCAGTCTATTATTATGACCTTTGTGTTTGTCGCTTTTCTTAATATTTGTCAATTGGACTATTATGTGATCCATAAACGATTTTCTTCCTTACCCCTTGATTAGAACGTAACCTCATTTGTTATTTAGTCTCGAATCCATTTGTATGATGCAATCTTTTGTATCCTCCTATAGACATCTATTTTCCATATAACTATATATACCAATGTACAGATTTCGTTGAAAAGAAAATTTTCCTCGCTGAATTCTGTTTCTTATTCAGCGACACTATGGGTTATTTTAATTATCTGAAGACTGAACAATTCGAGAATATTGTTGACTATTTTTTCGTGGAAATGATAAAAGGTTCAATGAAGAACAAATTAATGGCTGAAGGCATTAAATAAACTGAGACTAGGGCTATAATCAAAAATAAGAGGATTAAACAAAGAAAATATGAACAGTTGTACCATGAAGAGTTAAAAGGATTTTACAAAAAAAGGCTACAATTTGTGAATAGTTTCTTACAAATATGGAGCGACAAATAAGCTGAAAATTTTATTAAAAAAGAAAGATTAGATCTCGTTTGAGATTTATCATCTCATCAAAAGTTGAATACAGGAACTACAAATATGGCAACCAGTAATATACTGATAAGCAACTAAGTTGAAACATAATTATCCGCAATTCTAATTTTAGTTAACTTGAGATAGAGTGTGACTACCATAGAGTGACATCATAGCCAACAAACCAAAGGACAACTGACTGTACGTCTGAGTTTTGTTGATAAATGTAAACTTCCTAATTGGGATCTATGCAGTAAACGCTATTAGTGATTGAAGACTGAGAGATATGGTTAGTAGTCTGTCACAATGGAGCAGATCCACTCACTTTTTGTCTTACTCTGGATCTTGATTGCCAGTATTCCTTCGGACAGACCTTTTCATTCAGTCCTTCCGAAATATATTCACAACGTTTAATATTTCGAGTCACTATTATCACTATTTTATTTCGACGTCCAAGCTAATCACCTTGTTAATTTCATTTCATCGTGTTGAGCCGGTATGGCAGCTCAGGTAAGCATGCTTATTTTCCAGCCTCTACATTGATTATGACTGACTAACTGACGTGATTGATCGTCACCAGTTGTCAATGGCTTGACAGCTGATGTCAGTCTGTGATTAAAGTCAAATAGTGAATTTCATTTCAAGCTATACATACACACAAATAATATATGACTGTTCTTATTCAATAATAACTGGTGCTTTCCGTACAGTTCCTCTTTTGTTTGCCGAACAACTATCGAAAATAAACGAATATAATTCATTTTGAACTGTAGATTGAAAACGTATGGAAATGGGAAGATTTTGTTGATATTTTGACTAACATATATTCCTTGATTATTATGACGATAATAATGGATTATTTTTAGTCTATTTCTTGGTGTAGTTGTTTTACTATTTCTTAATTTTTTCTTTGTAATACTAATACTACTACTGCACCGAACGAAGACTTATAGGGTAAACCAATTTATGGTATAATGCAAAATTACACAGTGGTTTACATCTTCTTTCCGTTGTCCTTTACCTATACAATTATTATTGATTGCCCTTTAATCTCTTTTCTGTTATCTTTAATTTAATCTTCTGCTGCCAGGTATTCCATTTCCAATGACGGCTACGTATTACTTATATCTGTCAGCATGAATAGCACTCACTACACTACTACTACTGATTTGACTAAAATCGACGAGTCACAACAACTAACATAATTGCTATGAATTAATAATTATCGATTTCATAACTTACATTTCCAAGACTATTTGGAATCATATAAGGGTACAATAATACTGAATCATTACAAAAACATTGATGAATTTGTGAGTAAATACACACAATAGAACTTTAAGGATGATTATATATTTTCTCGTTAACCAACTCCAAACAAATTCATAATGAAGTTATGGCTCGGTAGTGATTAGGGTGTTCGACTTGCAGCTACTGAGTTGTTGGTTTTAATCACTACCCACCTACTTCGGTGTGGGTAACAGGATAGGATAAAAACCCTCACACAGAGTGTAGCTTTAGGTTAAGTACATAAAGGTGTAGCTGACAAATGAGTTGAATAAATAGGTAAATAACTATAGAAATATCATGAAGAATAATTCACGAACCGAATCTAAATCGATTTTACATAAAACAATAAATCAAAAAGTAGATATTCCCAAAAGATACTAATTGAATAAATTAAACAAATCTACCAGAATAAATATGAAGTAAATAGATGGCAGTTAAATAAACCAAACAAAAATAAATGCGGATATTGTAGAGATTATTGAGTTCTATTGGGATCACAAGACGATTTAAGTTAGGCAACCATTGAAAACCTGGAAGCACTGGACAGCTGTTTCTTCCTAGTATAGGACCGCTTGAAAGCATACATTCATGACTCTACTACCACGGATCGAACCCAAGACCTTTCGTCTCAAGTGAGCATGCCTAGTCTTCAAAACACTAGGCCGAGATCCAATGATGTAGAAGGTTAGACAACCGAGTCCTACTACACCAAGACCTAGTGTTTCCGGTGGTTGTCTAACTGTAACCGGTTCATGATCTCAATAAAAAAGCAAATAAACAGATACATTCCGTGAATCCAATTTAACTAATAATCAATAAATCATAACGTTTGGAATCCAAAAAATTCAATCAATA